CATGAGTCTATACGTAAGGAAATGGAACACGCTGCTGAGCTCCAAGTTAAGACCAGCAGGCAGAGCTGCATCTCCCAGACCCTCCCAGGTGCTCGGGGAAAGGTGCAGGAGCAGAGCAGGGTTAGTGGCCAGGGTTTACACCGAGAAATCCCAGACAACCTCAGCGGAGAAGGACTTTGCTTGGCCGCCCGTGCTGCCAGCAGCCAGAGCCTGCGCTCCGCAGGGATCACACGTACGCGCTGCCGGCGCAGCAACACCGAGCGCATCACAGCATGCGGGCTAGCCAGCCTTAGTAGTAGTGAAGTTCATATCTGGATTTTCGTGAGAAATTATCAAAAATGCATCTGTCTTGGAGACAGCAGCAAAATTAAAACTCTTCATGCTAGTTGCTATATTTAACCTCAGCTATTTTCTCTACAACTGTTACATACTATTTGCAGAATGTTTGCACTGCCTCTGCATTTTATCTATTATCATCATAAAAAGTGCATCCTGATATCATGTTATGCAAATGCATCTTATCAAACAAAAATTTCTAGGTGAAACAATGAAATTATCATCTGGTATGTCTAAAACAATCTTGTTTATCTATCTCCGGATCATAAGCAAGAACTGTATCTTCTTTAAACCTTCATTAGTAAAGAGACAAAATCGAAGCTATCATATATTTGGTTCAAAAGCCTTCAACTACAAAACAAAGAAAATAAACATACACTACTTACTTTAACATACATATAGTCTAAACCATCTACTTCCATCCCGTATCTCTTGCAATACAGATTTCCAGGACCTTCAGAGTCAGCCAATATTTGCTTTTCAGGCAAAACAGCCTTAATCTACACGGAAAATACTCCCATGTTACTTGTACCATGTACACTAACTCATAAGGCAATTTGAGAATATCTCTCTGGTTTCCTCAGCAAAACAACTGAGGTCATCTGCTTTAAAGATATGTATGAATAACCCATGGAGTCTGCAGAGGGTAACGTGTGACAAGCCATGGTGGAGCCATGAATTCCCTCATTGTTAAACTGACCCACAATATTTCTCTAGCTCTACAAAGAGCGAGAGTGTTTTCCTATAAATCACCAAGCAATTGCAAAATTCTGTTGTCTTGTGATAATCAAATGGAAGAACTCAAAGACACTGCTAGCAATTCCAGCAAGAATTAATGATCTGCCAAAGTCATTAAAAAAAAGACCATATGGGCATGAAAAGCTCTCAAATAACAAGTGTCTGTCTGTCTATATTTAGAACTGTCAATCTAGAAACAGGCAGTTTCCATCTAACTTCCCAGCTTTTGAAACTTCCCATGGCAAGTCATAATTTGTATCTTGTTTCTGCGTTAGGTGCAGTAAACATAGAATGAGAGCTCTTCAAAGCGATGCTGCTTTACCCTTTGCATTTAATTTTAAAAGCAAGACTTTCACCAGACCAAAGCGTTAGGCAGCTAGGAAGAGCCTGCCCTCGACCACTTCCACTAGCTCCTCCATTTCCAACACACTTCAGGAAGATTTTACCATCAAAGTTTTAGTGCATTTTAGCAAGCATTAATCAGGTCTTGCGCTAACTCCAAAACACCCACAGAGAAAGCTCCCGTGAAGCAGTTTGCCCATACTTGTGCAGCACGTTAACCAGGCGACGGGAGCAACCTCCGCTCCGGCCCCAGTTTAATACCTACACTGCTCCCTCACACCTTGCACATCGGCACGGTCCTTTGGCACTCACTCCTGCTCCTGTGGTGTTACCTATGTATCTTCTTTTCTCTTAACACTTTAAGAAGCTTTACCCCAGCCTCCAGTACTGCTAGACTGTTATTGTTCATGCAGAGATCTGTGACGAGACTTGTTATTGTCTCAGACCAGCAGTCCAAAGAAGTTAAATCCATGTCACTAAGGTAAACAGATGGTGGAAAGAGCAGGTCAGATCTCCACTTTCATAAATAATACATTTTCATCTTCTTCAGAATTTGCATTAGAATTTGCAGATACTCGCACTAAAAGGTGGGTTGATATCTGAAATCCACACAAATCCAACAGGAGACAAATCTTCAGACTTTATTAACTGCACTTTATGTTCGCCGGTACGTTACAGCTGCTTGATGCCCCCCAGGAATCGACACGAACTTACACTCTCTCCCTCTTTTTCTTTCTCCTTTTTCTGGCAGAAAAAGACTAGGTTGTAACCCACATGGCTGGGAAGAGAAAGACACCAGAATCCCCAGTATCATCAGCTCAGAAACGTTAGTGCTTTTTGCACTTGCATGCTGCTGGGGAGTTGGGCTCACCCATCGCACGCAGCATCTCGTGCCAGGGGCTGCCTGGGGCGTACGGAGGGAGCGGGTTACGGCTACGAGGGCATGAGTCCAACCATCACCTCCCCGGGACGGCACACCACCCGGGAGGCAAAAGTCACTCCTGAAAATACGCTCTTGCACGGAGTATTGAAACACCACTCTAAGCAGACAGGCCCTCCCTAACTGCAACACTGCATAGGCACAGCTTAACACAAAGAGCTTGTCAAGGAAACATCCCAAGGATATGTTTTCACTTGTTTTCCTGCACAAATTATTCTGGGCAGGTGTATGACAGCAAAATTATTTCTCTGCAATAAGAGGAAATAGAAAAATCAAAGCCCCAATTTTGCAGATTTACATGCTTGATTTCAAGGCATAAAATTAAGCAATAGGATTATTCATAATGAATAAAGATAAATCTTTACGGGATCAGGGTTAAGTAAAGCCATATAATACCGAGTGCAGGGAGGAAATGATGCAGTCACTGCAAAGCATAACGCAGAACTCAGCACTGGCACGGGCATGAAAGTGCTGCTGCTCTATCATTAAAGCCACTAAGAGCGTTGCTATTAGCCTTGGCAAATATGGTCTTAGCAACCCAATCACACAACACTCCATCCTGGATGCAGCTTAAAATTAAGCCAACACAAGGAAAAAATTATTGTACAAAGAGCCTTTGAATCCAACATGGTTTGAAGTCACTCTCTCTGTTTTTCATTACCGCTAGGTAATGATTTATTTTTGTGCCTACTGAATTTCCACTTTTTATTTGAAAGTTTCAAGTCCAACTTAAACCAATCACACCCTTGGGAGGATCAACCCCCAGGCAAAAACATACATTGGCTATGATGTATCATAAAGAGGGTTATGGTCTAGGACAATAACTTAAACAAAAAGACTTAGTCTAATAAAAGCAGAAAAAGCCAAAAAAAAAAAAAAAACCCACAAACATGAAGAAAATTTCCAAGAATCATGAGTTTATTCTGACTCCCAAAATATCTCTTCTACAACAAGGACCACGTGGATACCAAGTGAACACATCCAATTCTCCCTTCTTTTCATCAGCGCAGGAGAGGAGGGCAGAGGTGCATCACTGGAGTAGTTTGTTTCTACTCTATCGGAGCAGAAACAAGAGTCTGGTCCAAGTGTCTTGTTTCTTGGCACCGGGCCCGACTGAACCAACACTCACTATCAGAGCAAGACAGCCAGAGCAGTAAATGCCACTCGCTGCGCGCGAGCCCGGGACGCGCTCGGAGACAGCACAAGCTCCGCGCGCACATGCACCCGAGCGGGACGCCCGTGGGAGCCAGGCGGGAGCGCGGAGGCCCTACAAAACGGTTCTCACAACTTTTGTTGACGTTTTGGGTTTTCAAACAAGGACATCCCTTTAAAACATTAAATGGCCGGCCGCAGGGACTAACCCGGCTAGTCAGAAACGCAGCCGCCTTCAGGCAGCGTTAACGCCGCAGCCGCCTCTTTGCCAGCCGTGCACTGTATTTCCCCTGCAGCAGAAACGACATCTGCATTTGACTCCACCATCACTTCTTGCCCTTTTTTTTAATCCTATTAAAAATAGATCATCCAGAAACACATCTTGTGATACCCAACATTTCTGTGACTTGCTCAAAAATAAAAATTCTTTCACTAATCCTACAGAGATTAAACAATGGGTTTCATTAAACACTGGGAGAAATTACTCTGTTATTGGAACACATGGAAAGGATTAGACTTCCCAAGGCTCCATAAGAAGATTCTAAGAACCAGGTAAGTCTGCCTGAGCTGTCACCATCCCTTTCAGTTTAACCTGGAGCTGGGCTCCTTGCACACATTACCTGACATAGTAGGACTTTGACAGAATCTAATCATTTATTTATCTAAAGAAATAGCAATAATTCATCATCTAAGCCATCTGGTGCATATTTAAAATTAGTGCAGCAGAAACAGAAAATAACTTGTACTAGCTCAATATATACAGACTGCAAAGATTTCTGACGATGGTTTGTGGGGGTTTCCCACATAATCCATTAATGCTATTAGCGATTAATGTTTTAAGTGATACACAAATAATTAGACAAAGAGTAGTCATTAGCAATTGGAGCCTCATAATTATTTCTTTCATGTAAGAAAGAAACTTCATCTATCTTTGAAGACTTGGTATTCAGCAAGAGAAAAAAAAAAAAAAACACAATTTTGAGGGTCCCGCTATTCCTTCTTTTCCCCAAGAAGCCGCTCCGGTGATGCTGTGCTCCCCGCTCCCCGCAGGCCGGTACTCTGCGCCCTCCAAGCTCCCCGAGTTGCTCGCTGCCTCGCAGGCCGAGCCGCCCTGCCCGGGGCGGCCCCGTTTCCTGCTCTAGCACAGTCCGGTTCCTAGACAGCTTTGCAGCAGAACGGCCTCAGATTCACACTGTCATTAACTTTGCTTCCCAAAGGTCACATTTTCACTTAACAGGAATAATAAATTCTTGACAAATCACGGAATTGCTAATAGAAATCTAAGGGCTTTTTTTTCCAGTTTCTTAAGTTGCTGTGATTGGCATCCAGTGACAGGATTTTTTTTTTTTTTTTTGCTCAGAAGAATAATAAAATAACAAGCTTAGGTTAAACCAAGTATCATCAGACAGCGGCACAATGCCACACGCAGCACCCTCGGTTTGCAGAGGGCAGCAGTGACGTTGCTGCACACACTGGAGTCGTCACTCACAGAATTCCCATCACTTTCACTCAAACAATTCAGCAGACCCTGAAAGCAGACAAGTAACCCAGATATCCCCTTCATTTACAGGGGATTTTTAGAAGACCAGAAAGAGGGACTGTCATGAAGCATGCTATAAATGTTCATTATCACTTAGAGCTGTAATAGCTTAGTAGTGTGTTTAACATCTCCCTGCTCCGAGCTGCACCGATCCTGCTCGGAGCCAAGGGGGATGCTCTGCCCCGCTCCTCCCCACTGGTGCAGCTCACGCCTCAATCCGCACATGGAAACAAGCAATTCCCACCGCTACGCAACTGGGCAGCACGGAAGAACAAAGCACTTCTCTGCTGGGACAACTGGCTACTGATTAATTCATTAAAAATTTGTATATCACAGGCAACAGCTTGAAGTAGCAGTATAGATTATATAGAAGACAGCATTTTTCTTTCCCCAAGAAAAAATAGTCTAAAAAGCACAGAAATTTGGGAATATTGCCATCTTTTCTCTGTTGGTCTGTTTTCTGGTATTCTTCTCTCTCCTTCTCAGTATACACCAGGAGTTTGTCCTGGTCAGAGGCTGTGCTTGGCCACCGCGCGGGGCGGTCCCGCACATCACCCTCCCGCTTTGAGAGCGGGCGCCCAAAGCTGCCGGGCGCTTCCTGCCTGGAACGGCTGCTCTCGGCACTGCCCTCCGACACTTCCCTAAAGCAGAAACCCTCAAACCGAAGCATTTCAAGCAGAGTGGCAGAACTGAAGGTCAGCTCCCAAGTACAGCTTACACAG